ATTAATGAAATTGATTAAATTCAATTTTGTGTTATTAAACAAAAAGATTTCAGAAATTCTTTAAGTGAGATGATAATTTAGTCAGATTATTTGCATAAACGAAATTAAAATAAATGATTATTTTTTTTACTAATTTTAAGTGCAACAAATTACACAGCACTTATTTTATTACTTAGAACAATTACTTTTCTACTTATCTAAATGTAAAAACAGTTTTAGTTGGTAATCATATAAGTGACAGATGACTATAAAAAGGCACTGTTGATTATGTATGGCTAATATGTTTAAATAATGCACTGGCTATTGTTTGTGCCATGGGGCAATAATTATAAGTAAAATGATGCACCAAAATAAGTAACCAAGTAATCGTTTTAAGTCCTCTGAATATCAGTGCCATTTCAAAAAATATTTTTAATATTTTCTGGTATTTTTTAAATTTTGGAATTTGTGATTAACTTAAGACAGTGGTGTAAACTCATGTTTATTATTCATCTGTCCAAAACAACTGACTGATTTATATTTTACAACTTATCAACCCTTTGCAGGTTATTTAAGGCCAGAAAATATTTCTTTTTAGATTATAAGAATTTTTTTCTGAAAAGATAATTATGATTTAGTGATACAAGTCTTAGTAATTAACTTATAGCTGGAGGCAGAAGTGGTGGATATAATGAACCCCAGTGAAATTGGAACTTGGTTCTCTGATTAACAATTCTGAACCATTATCCATTACAACACCTGCACATTCAAGCTTACAGTCCTTAGCATTCCCGGTTGCTTCATTTGACTGATAAGTAAGAAGAGAAAAGACCATTTTCTGAACAAGGAAATCTGAGCATAGAAAATTCTTCTCCATGCAGTGCATTCTGTAGGTGATCATTTCTTTTCCTTATTTACTTATCCTGAAAGTTGAAATTTCTGGGACATATAAGGGCTTGGAGAATTTGACACTCACAGGACATATTGAAAGCAAGAGAAGTAAGAAAAACCAGAAAGTGAATGAATGGATGGTAGAACAGAAATAAAAAAAGGGCATAAAAAGTCAAAGGTTAGAACAACAAAAGACTAGAAGTTGTGGAGAACTATGATTGCCCATGCTGTAAGTAGACATGGTATATAAATGAAGACACAGAATTGTGGGGAGGTGCGTCTCCTTTTGTGTTTATTATTTGAGCAATCTTTTCAGTACCACATGCTAGGCTCATTGAAGCTTACCCATAACCTTCCCATACCTGATATGTCACAGACAGTGCAGCAAACCACTCTCATTTCTTTCGTATTTCTTTGATGAGATGTAAGTTCCACTTGAGCACCTTCTTCCCATGAACTGCTGCTTTGGGGATGCATCCTCAATCACTACAACCTTAACCGTTATCTTCTTCTCATATCCACATAAACTGTACATCTTATTCTGTAATGCTCTACTTTGAGTAACACTTGGGCTCTGTACAGTAGCCCTGGGTATGATGATAAATTACATCTGGCAGCAAGATTGGGAGATTTAGGGGTTTTGAGGAGTTTGGAACCAATTGCTGTTGTTACCAGGTCCACCCTGACTGGGATGGTAGCCAGTGATGTGCAGAGGTTTGGTGATACCTGGGGCCAACTCCTTGATTGTATGCCCCTAAGACTCAAGTAGGGGGGGGGCATAGGGCCTAGTACTGAGAAATGTGATAAAGGAAGATATTTTAAATATGTAAAAAACAAATGAAACATGAAATAAACACTTTATTCAAATTAAATATAAACTACATTTTTATTTTACTCTTTGATTGGATGCCCTTTCTGGGGCTGTTGCACACTCTGCACCTGTTAGAGTCCTACTTATGGGCAACTAGTAAACTTCCAAACAAAAACAAAACACTATGAAAGTATAAAAATACATTTTTATAGTAAAATTACTAACAATACATTTTTATATAAAAAAAATTGCCAACAATACCTATTTATAGTAGAATGACCAAAAATATATTTTATAGGAAAATGACCAACACTACATTTTATCTGTAGTTAAAACTATAAAATTGTGTTCAAAATATTTAGATTTTGGCATAAAACAAAATCATCCAAGCAGACTTACAAGGCTGCCTGGTTGATTTTGTTTTATGAAAGAATGCACTACATAGAGAAGAATTTTCCATGTTCAGAGTGAACATAATTTAAAAAAAAAAATATGCCCCTGTCAGTTTTGAACTGAGAGCAATTTGACCATAGAATTTGCTAGAAGGAAATCAAAATTGATATCAAACTATCTCCTTTATTTCTGGTTCAAATTCATAGTTATCCTCCTCTCTGAGATAAGAACCCAGTTTGCCCAGCTCTTTTTTGCCTTTTTCAAAGGAATTAATATAAAATGAATACAAACTACCTTGGCCACAACTTGAACTTCGCTTGCTGATTCCGTTTTCCTTTCATGTTAACTATTAGTCTGCCTATTACTCCACAATAAGATTTGTAATAACTTTCCCTCTCATAATAACTTTTAATTTTGAGTTTTTAAATGTTTTGTTGTTTCAGTCTGTTACATGAAAGAAATTTCATACAATTTATTTCCATATTTTTTCTTTTTTTGTTATAAACATTTTATGACAGTCAAAACACAGTATGACACATTTATAGAGCTGAGAAAGATGGTTTTAATGCAAGGCTGCTTGTTAGGTCAGATATAATGTCATATATAATATCACATATAATGTCATATATTCATGTCATATAATGTCATATATTCATTCCACACAGAAATATGTGAGTTAATTCAACATTTCTTTTTTCTCTTTTACTTAATGTCATTATTTTTTTCTTCAGTTAGCAAACATATTGTCTCCATTAGAATTTACATTATTCTTATGTTGAAAGTACATACCCGAGTTCAATATCCCCCCAAAACTCTTTAGATGAATTGACATGATTAAAAATATTTTCAACATTAAGTTTGGATCTGCAAGACTTTGGGCCAATATATGAGCATATATATATATATATATATATATATATATATATATATATATATATATATATATGATAAAATATAGTTTTAAGGTATGCTATATTTATGGGTTAAATTGTGTGCAATATCAGGGATAGAGTGTATGTAAATATAAACCCTAATAATTCAAAACATAACCATTACACTTCACCAAAATAACCATTAGGATAATACAAGAGACTACCCAGAATATAATAAAATAGACTACCCACAATGCATTGCTGACTTGTATATATAAATAGTCACATTAAACAATGCACATTGCTTGATGATTGCATTTAACATGAAACAAACTGTCACCTCTGGGTGCTGGCTTTAATGTCCATATATATATATATATATATATATATATATATAACAAAAATATATAGTCACAGACTTTTGAAGTTTTTTCAAATATCTTGTTTTGAAACATGAGACCTCTTATGTATTTGGAATCATATTTTTTAAATAAATATATAAATATATATATATATATATATATATATATATAAGAATATGATATATAAATTTCCATATATCAAAACAACATTGGAAAAATGACAAAATGTAAAATAGTACTAGCAGCTCTAATCAACTCTAAATAGGTTTACATTTTACATATCTTTCTTTCAAATAAACAATATGTCTTTTGTTTCACTAGATCAACCATCAATGTATTAATGGCTCTTATTGAATTTCTCTATCAAGAACAGTGAGGCTCAGACAGTGGTTTTCAATATCGTAAAGGCATTTGACAGCATTTGGCATGCTGGCCTTCTTCACAAGCTCAAGGTCTGTGTTGTCTCTGACCAAATATCTGATTCAATCCAAATATTCCTAAAAAATCATGTAATGAAAGTCATGTTGAAAAGACACTCTTGTACATACTTTCATATTAATGTCGGGTTTTCCTAGAACTCTATACTTGGACATATGTTGTTTCTTATCTTCATCAATGACCTTCCTGATGTCATCAATTCCCAATTTGGTATTTATACAAATGACACACCTATTACACCTGAATTAATAGTAAGTTCAATAGATTCAACAAAGTAGAACTGGTAGCTGCTTTAGAACATAACCTTCAATCAGTTGTTAAGTGTAGTAAGAAATGGCTTTTAAATTTGAATGCCTCCCAAACAAAACTGCTATATTTTAATCTGGGTTTCTTCAAATCTATCTATCTATGTTTGTTCCAATGTATCTGTATTATGAAATATAACAATCTTTTTAACTTATGAAATAACTGGTAAGAAAACATACATAAGGTCTGTCTGAAATGTAATGGTGTGCTGTGTGAGCTATTGGCAAAAGAGAGATAAGTGGATTGAGTTATCATCTAACATTATATAATGGGAGTATATAACTGTAATTTTAGCTTTCTGCAAATATTCCATTTTTTTCACATGCATTTGTGGCAGGACACATGACAATGTACCTGCTCAAAACACTCTGAGCATCCTACAATTCTTGGCCAAGAAAAACATTGCCATATTGGAACAATCTCCCTATTTAGCTGTTCTTGTTCCATGTGACTGTTTTCTTTTCATCAAGCTCAAGGGGATCATCAAGGGTTTTGGTCTGTTTTGAATGTGTGGAGGCCATCAAGTGGACTGTAAGAATGAACATGAGACCCATCCATAAAGAATCCTTCCAGCAATACATAGATGAGTGGCAGAAAAGGATTGGAAAGTGTGTTAGACTCAAGGGGGAATACCATGAAGGGGAAACCATGTAGTTTTTTTGTTTTGAATTGAAATAAATTGTTGTGACATCAGTCAGATTACTTTTCAGACAGACCTTGTATATATACCCGTATATGTTTATATATGGTGGTCCATAGCACTTATTGTACACAATAAATATTTATTTTTTAACATAATCTCATTGCTGAACCTAACACTTCCCTATTTATCACACTGATCAAATATTATACACCGTGAAAAATTTCAGATGAAAATTCAGCCTACAGATTTATTGATTCCAAATTATGTGCATGCATGTGTGCATGTATGTGTATATGACTTCTTACCTTTTTCACTAAGATTGTGAGTCCTTGATATTTGAAAGGTTTTGAGAAATCTATGTGCTGAGCTCTTTCTGGATTAATTGTCAAAGGGGCCATGATCATATCAGCTTCTGCCAAAACCAATTCTCCAATCATACCATTCCATTTCTTCTCTGTGGAACCATTACGCTGAAATGCAAAACACAGTATGCAATAATCTAGAAAAGCCAGATTGACATATACCTGATGAAAGTTGGAGAGTATAATGGTCAAAACATTGTGATAACAACAATAAAGATTAGAACAATAGCTAGCATGTAAATAATAGTAAGTACTCATTCAAGCAGAAATCAGCTGATAATTTGTGTTAAAAAACCAAAGATGAAGATAACAGATTTTGATATGTTATATTAAAAATACTTTATTTCAGAACTTCAGAAAGGGCAAGAAAAGCCAAAATGATTATCTGCCAAAATATGTTAAAAATAACAAAGATGAAGATAATAGCCAAAAGAATAAAGAACATAATTTCAGAACTTTAGAAAGGGCAAAACAACAAAGATGAGGATAACAGATTTTGATATGGTATAATAAAAATACTTGATTTCAGGAAAACTTCTTAAAATGGACACTAGCTTTCTAAGTTTCTGAAATTAAATATTTTCCTTCTTTTTTCTTGTCTAAAATTTTGATAAGAGTCAATTACATACTCAGTAATGTGTGACACAATGGGGATTGGCAGTGTTCAGAACACTCACATTGTAAAGTGGACAATAGATGATGTTACCTAGACTGGTGTTTTATAAATAGAAGAAAAAAAATATATGAGGACTTCAAAGCAAACACTAACTGTGCACAAGAATAGAAAAAGAAAATGGAGTAATTAAGGTCGGAAGCTAAAAAATCAATAAGATTGTTGGTGATTACCAACCAGGATATTTGTACGGTAATGTAAAAACCCATAAACCAGGTTTTCCTCTCCAACCTATCATATCCCAAATACCTACACCAGTAACAAAGCTATCAAAAACCCTAAATAACATAATTTCCCCATACACACCCAATAATTACAACATCGTATAAAGAAACTAATTCCTTCATATCTTAAAAACAACAAATTTAGGTAGAATACTAGTTTCACTTGATGTTGAAAATCTTTTTATCAATGTCCCAGTTGAAGAAATAATCAACATAATTAGTGAATGCATCTACAAACATCCATGAATCCCTCTTTCCAAAATCCAACTAGCAACTGTTTGGAAACTATTACTTGTGTGAATGACAAAAGCCCCATTCTATGATCATAATTGCAACCCCTGCAACCCAAATTATGGTACCAGCATAGGAAACCCATCAGGTCCTGTTTTTCTCTTACTTTTACATGTCATATATTCAAAACAAAATGTTTGAAATAACAGACAAATCTTCACAAGGTATGTTGGAAAAATTTTTGTTTTGATAAAAAATAAGGACAAAATTATAGATCTAAAACCAACGTCTGAAAAAAAAAAAAAACACAATGCTAAAATTTACATATGAAATCATGGTTAATAACAAAATCCCATTTCTCAACATCAATATAGAACTAAAATCCAAAGTATTTACCACCTACCCATATATAAAACCAACCAGCATGAAATTTCTTGTCTTCTAAACTATTATACTCAATGCTCAGAAAGATATAAAATAGCAGTGATAAAAAAAAAAAACTTCCTAAATAGAGCATACCTAATTTCCTCTTCCCAAAGAATATTGCTGAGTGAACAAAAAATTAAAAAAAAAACATTAGTCAACAATAATTTTTCCATCTACATCATTAATAAACAAATAAAATTATTCTTACAAAAAATATATGACACCAGTAAAATACCACATAACAAAACTTCAACACATTTTACAGTAACTAGATGCACAATAATGAATTCACTGTACAAAAAATCATTAAACACTATATTTCTGCTGTAATTCCCCCAAAACATGTAAAACTTATAATATGTTACAGAAAATGCTAAATGGCAAACCTTGTTGTGAGTAATCAAAATAACCCCATCAAATCTAAAGTATTGATGACCAATATAGCATCTTGTCATAAATCAATTACCTAAATTGGACATACTACCACTTCCTTGAGTAGATATCTCACATTATCAGAGCAAAGTGCAATACAAAAACATCTATCCACACATGCAATTCTATACAAATCGAATCGAATTACCAAAAACGTCTCAATATAAGAGTGGCCCTGTATATCAAACATCTCCTGTTTAAGACTGGTTTTCTGGTTTCTTCTAAAGCCTTTTCATTCTCTTTCACTCCCAGTTCTGTCTTTGTGGCATTATCACCCTACTTGGGGTGAATTGATTAAAAAAAATGGAAGTTGACTCACTGTATTGTGCCAACAATTTTTTTTAGCAGAATCCGTCTATCACATTCACAAATCTACCATTCATCCATGTATTGAATATTGCTGTCTGGATTTCTATAGATTCTTGACAAAATTTAAAGAATGGTCTGTAATGTAATCAATGCTAATCTAGCATCTCAGCTTCAGTCACTTTCCCACTGCCATTTCTCATTCTTTTTCACTTTCTATAAGCTTTTGTGTCATAGTTGTATTATCAACTGGATTGGGGTGAAATGATTAAAAAAACATGCTCTTTATTGTACAATATTTTAATTTAAGAAAGTGTGAAAATTTCCTTCCTAATGAAGTACAAGGGATGTATGTAGCCAGTGTATAGCTTTTATTTGTCAGTCAATATCCCTTAAGATTACGTGTACATCTTTGTGTGTGTTAGAAAAGATTGTAATATGTAAAGTTAGCATGTAAGATGAGTTTGTCAAAATTTTCTGTTCAGAGATGTCAGTGGCCAGCTACTGATTTATTGTAATTGATGTCAGCTATTTATAAAATATTGAGGGTTGAAACAAATGTTAAATTTTACTTGGTTGAACAATATTGATATGTTATGTACATTTTTATTGGATAAAATATTGATGATAGGATTGTGAGTTGGAAAACAGTTTTGATTCACTTTTGATTTTAACTCAGTGATTTTTATGTTTAGATGGAAAATTTGCTACAACATTACCTATTGGCTAGAAAATGTAAAATTGAAGATTCAAATTTTTGTCTACCTGTAAACTACTTTGTACAAAAATGATTTAGCTGAAATTGTATAATGGCACAGTGGATACAAGTGTTGGTTGAATGATCCAAAATTGACTTGACCCAAGAGTTGTGAAGTCAATACCTGGCTATAGCAGAGGGAACAAAAACTTGGAGAGTTGAGTTATCAAGGGGAATTAACTGAAACTGAGATATCCAAAGGCATGGTATGTGGAATTAGAACAATCTATCCATATGGACTAAATAAAGGATTCAGTTCAAAATTCCAAGAAATATCACCTGAAGAAGGCTGGAATGTACAATGACTGGAACATTGTGAATATGGCAATAAAGATGAGGAAAATAGTCCAAACAATGTAAATAGTGTAAAAAGTAAAATTCCTAACTGTTACCATTTTAGTCAGTTTTACTGGCACATTCTTCATCTTTACTCAGTGGGACGTTGCATTTACATCTTTATTAGTTAAGAATGGGATAAGAATGATCTGGAACAAAAAGTCAACATCCTCTTCCAAGTGTTTCAAGAAATGGAACTTAAATCTTTTCAAAACAGAACTTTGATCTGGAATTATAATTAAAGCGGTAATGTCATCTACCCTGAATCCATCTTAAAAATTCTGGTTGAGGAATCAGTAAATACTAAACACTTCAAATATCTTGGTTAACGGATCAGTTATAACAAATTTAGTAGAGAACATAAAGAAATTAAACATAGAAGAAACTGCACCAGGGGGTAGTTTTGTTCAACATTGCAAGATGCTACCATATCAAAATTAACCTAAGAACTCAAATCATATTCTTAAATAGCCTTGTCCAATTGATACTTCTATATGGATGTCATGCATAGTGCCTAAACTGTTCAGAAATATCTAAAAACTGTCAACTGTATACAACCGTCTTCTCAGTCAATGATTAAAATGGCTTTTGGTGAATTAGCCATGTAGGTCTTAGTGAGGACCATCCATCTTTGAACCTTGTGGATTGGTGCAACAGAACCACAAAGAACTGTACCAAATAACAGAAACCATATCACTTAAGGACTTCTCAAGAGAGAAAGTTCTTGACAAAATCAATCCTGTCCTCTATCAACATTAGTATGCAGAATGCCATCGGCTGTTCCATGAAAGAATTGGTCTACTTAGTCATCAATACCATCATCATAAAGGAAGCGATCAGAAAAGAAGAAATTAGATTCAAGAAGAAGATGACTCTCTACTGGGTACAACAACAAAGGTTGATTCCTTGATAAGAATCAACAATGCTTTTCCAGTTTTGTCTGTTCATGCATTAACACTTTGTCATGCTTGATTGGATTTTTCAGGAGATTGTTGAGAACTCCAATTCAAATGGAAGAGTTTTCTTCAACAGCCATGGTTCATATGACAAAAGCACAACTTAATTTTGTCCAGTTTCACATACCCACTTAGGGAATACTGCCCCAAAATGTCAATATTAAAAAATTTGACCACTCAAAAAAAGGTCAATGCAGCTGTTTCTGAGCCAGTCATTCACTAAAAAGCCAATGCTGATTCCCCCCATGAAAGTAGATCTAACCCAGCTAGAATTAGTGACAGATTCCATGGCAAGGAGCTTAACCGAATGCAGCCAGATTTACATGACTGCACAGGCCATCAGCAGTGACACTAAAAGGCGCTTCCATCAACAGTAATACCTTTGGCCAGTGATGAAAACCAATAACAGCAGAAACTAACTTTTGACTACTATAATGTGATAATTTGTAGAATATATCTCCCATGAGTATATCTCACTCAACTGCGTATTGATTTTCTCCATGATTCTATCTCAACTAAAACCTTGTGTTATACCTTGAATGACTCTCAGTCTCCAATGACTGATATATGATATCCTGATATGAACCTTGCAGATCACATGATATAAACATTTTTTTTTTATTTATCTCAACTATATCTTGTCACCATTTGTTGTTTTGTCACTTCCACTATTTTTCTTGCTAACCATAAATCCACCATTACAATATAAAAAGAAGGAAAGAAAAAAAAGGCAAAGTGACTTCTAAAGACTTCTGGATGCAACATGCTCCAGAAGAAGTATATCAGCTGATAGGAAAATAACCTAGTAGATTAAAGCATTGATTAGTGAATTTGGTGACATAGTAATTGTGAGTTCAATCTCTGGGCAAGGCAGTATGCACTTGGACTCAGTGGAAACAGGGTGAGCCATAACTGAGTAGTACTAAATAAAGAACTGGACAAGAATTCCTTAGATATGGCCAATGGAACAAGAAAAAATATACACCTGTAGATTAAATAAAGGATTCAATTTGATATTCATTGTAGGCTACCCAGATTAACATACACCTGATGAAGGTTGGAGTACAATGGTCAAAACATTGTGATAACAGCAACAAAGATTAGGACAATAGTTAGCATGTAAATAATGGTAAGTACTCATCCCAGAAATTCAAGCAGAAATCAGCTGATAATGTGTTAAAAACAACAAAGATGAGGATAACAAATTTTGATGTGGTATAATAAAAATACTTAATTTCAGAACTTCAGAAAGGGCAAGAAAAATCAAAATGATTATCTGTCAAAATATATTAAAAATAACAAAGATGAAGATAATAGCCAAAAGAATAAAGAAAATTATTTCAAAACTTCAGATGATAGAGGAAGATCAATGACTATATCAGCCCAAATACATCAACAACAGCTGCTGGAAAAGTTCATGAAATAAAATTGATTTTCTGCAGATATATCTTTTTATAGCAAAATGTCTAGTTATTTGAAATATTCATAGAAATGAACATGTGTCTAATATATAAAAAAGAAGTGACATTAAGTAAATGTCATTACTAACAATTTACAGGAGAAAAGAAAGTACAAGAAAAACTAATATGGAGTTTAAGTTGTCAGTGAGTCTTTTGATCAATAGCCACTTTAATTTTTTTGCTTGGCAAAAAAAAAAAAAAAAAAAAAAAGAGTTGTTTGGTGAAAAAAAGAGTGGTTTGGCATAGTATTGTAGAGATTAACTGGCATTTCAAACTAGAATGACCCATTGCAAAATGATCTGTTGCAAAATCTTGTATTTGTTTTTTTTTTTTTTGCAGTGGATGCAAAATTGAGAAGTTCCTGCATTTACTCCAACTAACAGTAATTGGTTGAAAATTCTCTTTTTATAATTTATAATTAATATTCTTCTACATCTTCGTATATGAAAATTTTTTATTTTATTTTGGTGGGTTTTTCCTGAAATATATATTTGTTGATACTTTTTTTTGTACAACTTTTCAAAATATTTCTCAAATATTTACACATTACCTATTTTAATTATTAATTTTTGAACATCATGATATAGTAAATTTGATGGTCCAACTAACCTCTTGCTAATGGACTAAATGTCCTCCTCATCTTGGTTTCATATGTCAAATAGATGTATGGATGCAGATTTAGACATAGTTGAAAGCATGTCAAGGAGCCTAACATTAATTGCATGGAGAAGTAAATCTGTGAACAGAGTTGAATTCTGACTGAGATATTTTGCATTTATTTTGTATCAATACTCTTGGAAAATGTATGAATTCATTCCCCTTTAATTATTTGAAACACATTCAACATTAAGGATAAAGAATATTGGATTTTTATATTTTTCCGAGATTTACCATGAGGAAAACAAATTCCAGAATTATGTCAAAATCCATGAACATTTTTCAATCCTTTAATTAATAGTCAATTGTGCTTAACTTTAATTTGTAACGTATATAAATGTAGGTAGAGCAAATGTTCATAAGATAGCGAACCCCCAATCAGGTTCTCCCCCTGGTCGTGGGGTTCGGGGGTGATACGCACCGGCCCTGCTCTTTCTTCAATGGCAGGAATAAGGAAAACCAAAAAGAAACATGCATAAGAAATTACAGACACTCATATTCAGTTAACTTATTCTACATTTGTTATGATTTGTTATTGGTTTTACTTATTTTACATCATTCTTCTATGTGCCGTGTTACTTGACGATCATGGCTCTCTACAATTTCCTGTCTTTTTTTTTTTTGTAGCACTTAGTAAATTTTGTCTTTTTGCTATCTCTCCTAAAACCCTGTTCTGACATTAGTACACAAGCTCGTTAGGTAGGTTATGCGTGCGATGTTTTACTCACTCCCGACTTCAATGTCCTGTGAGTGTTAAATTTTCTTTTTATGTGTCCTAGAAATTTCAAATGTCTCTTTCTGGTGTTCAGTATACGTGTACTTTTTGTTTCGATTTTCCAAATTTTTGAAACGACATTTTGTTCCCGTTTATCAGCGCGGTATGTAATCTAAGGGAGGTAACTCCTATAAACTGGTCAATTATATTAAGGTAAGTTTGATTTTCAAAAAAGCAACCCAAAATTTCGAAAATTTAAATGACTCTTTTAAATTCATTATTAATATAGGATATAAGTAAGGTTGCCAGATTAGAAAATTAGAAATACAGGACACTCTGAAAATCCTCTCTCTCTCTCTTTCTCTCTCTCTCCCTCTCTCTCTCTCTATATATATATATATATATATAAATAAATTTATACATGCTTATACCCAGACCAATATAGTATTTAAAAGGAGAGACATAAGTTAAAATCATAAAGCAATGATTTTAATGGGTTATGAGAAAAATAAAAGTAAAACCATTTGAAAATTATTTAATACAAGAAATTATTTAATACAGAAATTCTGTAAAAGTGAAATCATTTGAAAATATTTATTTAATACAGACAACGGAGAAATAATCACATCAGTTTTGTGTAAACTTTTAGCAACACTAGTTTCCTCGTTATATTTGGGTTATTTTCATTAAGAGAATCTTAGAAAAGAAAGTATAATTGCTTATAAAGTTGCAGCCAAGAACTGTAAGAAGGTGGTAAAAATATATTTTTATTATGAAATTTGAAAATGAAGTAAATACAGGACATTTGGGGCATCCCTGAAAAGACAGTACAGGACAGGGGTCAAAATTATCCAATACAGCACATATCAGGGACGTCTGGCAACCCTAGATATATGTAAAGAAGTAAAAAGAAAAAAACAGCAGAAAAAATAAAGAAACAAAAAAGTTATCAGGACATATTCCCAAAAGAACGAGAAATATATTGAAAGGTTAGATTCAACCTTCTGTCAACCTATTGAGTTTTTACAATGAAATCAGTAAGAGAAGCTGGTACATTTTGTTATAAATTCAAAATAGCAGGAAGATGAGATGGCAATTATCTTAAGAAAGGCTTTATTCAATGAAAAACTGGAGCAGAACAATGCTATTGGTGTCTCTCCACATAATGTCTCTCTTCGTAGAATACAGCATATTTTATAAAGAAAAAAATGTTCATTTACATACAAGAAATTTACATACAAAACATTAGTTTATGTAAAGAAGAATTTCTGTAACACAAAAGAATAATGTTCATTTACATAACACCTTTAATTAGGTTAATTTAAGTCAAAAAGGGGTGTGCATTTCAATCTGATTGAGAGAATACTCTTTATTTTTAATCAATACTGTCTACTAATTTACCAAAAATTGATGCCCTGACTAAAGGTCTGATAAAAAAGCAATTATAGAATTTAAGATTAATGGAACAGTCAACAAATTGATAATGATAAATTGAAATTTATTGATATGTCATAAACAATGTTTTATTTAAAATTGAAATACAGTTTTTTCATCAAAAAATTGGTAATGATAAATTTATTCATATTGAATGCAATTGGAGCACATAATTCTGCAGACATGTGGCAAAAAGGCAAAAGTTTTACTTACTCTTTCAAAGGATCCATATGTATTATCCGAACTCATGTGAACAGCAAATGTAAAATTGACTCTTGCAGAAAGGTTAACCAGCAAATCAATACAGTAACCCTTGCAACAATATTCGGTTACGTTGCCTGAAATGATAAAAAAAAATTAAAAAAGATTAAAAAATCAGTGCAGTAAGCCTTGCAATGATATATAAAAAAAAAATAGAAATAAAATTTCACACTATTTGCAGTATTTATATTCAGACTATTGTCCTCATCTTTGTTATTGCTATCACAATGTTTTGGCCATTGTGTCCTCAGCCTTTCTTAGGTTTATATTGATCTGGGTAAGCTACAGGGAATTCTGAACTGAACTTTTCATGTAATCTATAGGTAGACTGAAATGTAGATTAAATAAAGGTTTCAGGTCAGAATTCCCTGTAGGTTATCCAGATCAATATACACCTGAGGAAGGCAGAAGGATACAAGTGCCAAAAAGTTGTGATAACAACAACAAAGATGAGGACAAAAAAGCAACCCAAAATTTCGAAAAATCTGAAGATAAAATATAAATAGTTTAAATAATGATAACTCCTCATCCCAGAAATTTATACAAAGAAAGGTCTGGATTTCATTTTTTTTTTGTTTTTTTGTTACCAATAATGAAATTCTGTGGAAAGCACAATTAACTAAAAAATCCTCAAGCCCCCATTTTTATTGTTAGGTCAGCTCCTGATTGTTTCACTATGTTATGGTAGACAATTTTTCTCTCCAGAATCTATCTTACATATCTAGAAGTCTACCATTTATCCATGCTTAGAATAGAGCTCCTTTATAAAATCCGAAGAAGAAACAGCAATATTATTGACCCTGTTCTGGCATCTTAGCTTCAGTCTCTTTCTCACTGCCTCCCTGTGCATTTTCTATAAATACTTTCATGGTAATTGTTTGAATGAGCTCTTCGCTATGCTGCCTAGACTCTTTGAATTTAAACGCAGTACTATGACTGGCATTGAGAACTCATCAATTTACGCTTGATTCAGCTAGATGTAAATTCTATGCTAGCAGTTTCTTTTCTTGCATTTTTCATTTGTGGAACTCCCTTCTGGTGCCATGCTTTCCCACCAATTTTAATCTCTTAAAAATTTAAATGCAATGTCAATTGCTAACTATTGTTCTCCTGATTACTCTTCTTTTGTTCTTCCTCCTTAGCAATGTTGCTGTTTCTAAGCCTCCCACACCCAGTAACCCCTTGCATCTTAGTGGTTTTATTACTTTGATTGGGGTGAAATTGATTTTAAAAAAGTGAAGCATATCAACAAAAGCTCTACAGATTTTCAGAGAAAGTAAAGCATTTAATTTATTATTATATATCAAGTGTTGGAGCATATGATGTAACGACCTATCTCATAAAGGGAAGGTGTCTGACAAGGAAATGAATTCAATGCAGATTATGATCTGACATGGAAAGCAACATGAATGTCATTTAAAACACCTGACAGGAAGTTGAAGTATGGGCGTTTTGTCCTAGACATAAACTAATATACATCTGTGCCTTTGGGAAGAGATGAAGAGGTGGGGGGGGGGCAACACTAGACAGAGATATGGAGGAGGGAGTGGCAAACTACCCAGTGGAAATAAAGGATGAAAAGGAGTTCTATCTATAAGTTGGAATGGGGAGCTAAGCTCCCACCTCACCATTTTCAGTGAAAAATGCTAAGTAATAAAATTTTTAAACAACTGTTAAAGAAGGTTTTGCCCCTGCTGTTTTGTCCTTCTCCCCACACTCACTCTTATCACCAGGTCCCACCTCCATACACACATATGCAACATATTTATAGCGGGTGTCTGATGATAATCACTAAAACATGATAACAAATTCTTTCAAATCTTCAGCACCTTCCTCAGCATCCATGCAAACTCAGCATCTCTGTAGTCTGGACACTCAGTTCCTCATTAAATTTCCTCTTCATCTAATTTCAGTCCTAGCATTTTTGGCAGAGTTCCAAATCCACCAACTATTATAGGCACAATTCTAACTTTCATATTTAATTTTATTTTTCTGTTATCAAGCAAGATCTTGGTAAATATTAGACTGTCAGGGAAAGTTGGCATTAGAATTTTTGGATGAGGTTTTATCATTATGTACATTCAGACTAATATCTTCATCTTTGTTGTTATAATCACAACATTTTCACTGTTGTGTTCCCTGGTTTTCTTATTGTAGTTTTTCGGAAATTTCAAACTGAACACTTTATTTAATCTATGGGGTTAGATTGTTCTCATTCTGCTGTCTACATCTAAGGATATCTCATCTTGTTCTTATTTAATACTGCTCACCTTGTTTCTGCCAAGTCTAATCTTGTACTACTCAGCCCAGGGATTAAACTCAGAACAAATATGAGAACTTTAGTCTGAATCTAAATAATGTAACAACTTAGTTAAGAGATACATAAAAACTTATTTTGTTAAACAAGAACTAAGAAGAATTGAAACTTAAGAGTATTGGGGGATTTAAACCAGGATCTGGCAATAATCAGTCAAAATTTAAAACAGGAAAAACTGGTTTTTATCGAGTTTATTTTAAAAAGTAAATGACCACGATTAAATGGACATAATTATACAGATGGTTTTCTCACTAGCATTCATAATAAAAGTAATAAAATAAAAGAAAAAGTAGTAGTAGTAGTAAGAGCCAAATATTAATAGATGAATGAGTAAAAAGCAGGGAGCTAAGGATCAAATTTTGGCAGCTTGATGCTTTCCTGTATAAAATTGATATAATACAGTTTGTAAAGAATCCTCTTTTCAAAGTGAAGATTTTATTGCTAGCTTCTCTTTTATTAACATTTACTTCTAAGATAATTACACACTTTTCATCTGACAAGATTAATGCTGGCTATAATTATACACATAACAGCCAGCTAGGTTCTTTCAGCACCAAAAAATCCCTTTTTCTGATTTGTAATGCATTTCTATAGTAAAAATTATAGCAAAGCATTTCTATAGTAAAAAAATTATTTGGAATGCAATTCTATAGTAAAAAAATTATTTGCAATGCAATTCTATAGTAAAAATTATATGCAGTGAAACTATTATATAAGTCCTGCTCTGTCAGTAAGACTTGTATGAATTCCTGATCACTATCAATTCTGCTTTTTCCTGATTTTCAATATAGAGTGAATGCCAAAATTTACTTTATTGACTTTTAGCTTAAAAATGAAGAAATACAGTAATTAAAAGAATAAATTTACTTTAAAAACCAGATGTTTACTCTGGAGATACCTATTTATCAATAACAATTGTGAATAAACTGATCAACTGATAGAGTCGATCAGATAAAATAAGAATTATATATATATACTAAGTTTCAAAAATATGTTAATTTTTTCCCTAAAGATTCCAAAGCTTATACATACATACATACACACACATACATATATATATATATATATATATATATATATATATATATATATATATATGATATCATCATCAGTAATCTTTTTAACTATTTCACCCCCAAACAAGGTGACAAATACACTAGGATGCAGAGGATTACAGGGAGTGAAAGAGAATAAGAAGACTAGTGAAGAGGAGTGAGGAAAGGACAATAAAGGAACAGGGTTCAGGAAGACAGAAGATGGCAACTGACTTTGCATTTAAACTTTTGAAGATTGTAGATGGGAGGGAAGCAAGAAATTAGAAGGGAGTTCCACATGTGAGAAGGGCAAGAAAAGAAACTATTAAAACAGAAGTGGCAGTTGCATCTAGCTAGTTAAACAGTAAAATGGTGGAACCTAATTGCCAGTTTAGTAGCACACTTAAATTCATGTAATCAAGGTACCAGGGAAAAAGCTGATCAGAACAGTTGCCATCAAAATATTTGTAGAAAAGACAGTGGGAAGCCACATTACATCGGTGATAAGATGACTGAAGTCGAGTTGCCAGATCAGAATCAACGGCTTTACCAACCCTAATTTGAATTTTGTCAAGAATCTTGAGATATACAGCAAGAACACAAGAACAAATATGGTGGCAATATTCAAATGGTAGATTTATAAATGTGCAAGATGGATTCCAAGAAAATTTTTTGGGCACAACACAGTGAACCAACTTTTCTAGTAGTAAATGTAGCAATTGGTTCAATATAGTCAGTATTAATGGAAAATGTGCAGGTAGCATCAGCCATGCTGATGGCAGGCAAAGAAATTTCTCTGTGGTGATTAAAAGTAGTTTTTTTTTGGAGGCAGTAAAATTTACAAGCCATTACTTGCTCCAGTTAACCACTGATTGGCGGTAATTTTTGAGAGCAGCTGCCAGGGTTACTTTGTTATGATGATGATGATCATCATCATCACCACCACCACCACAAAATAATAATAATAATAATAATAATAATAATAATAATAATAATTTTATTTTTTCAAACCTATACACCAAAGCTTATTTCATGTATACATCTAAATGCTATCTATGATTCCATGATGATATTATTATTATTATTATTCTGTAATATTAGGGCATATTAAATGTATAATTGCAAAAATGCTTGATTCAATTAGTGAAGTTGAATTAAAAAGAATAAAAGCTTGTAATTCCAACGAATAATGTATTTTTATTTTTTATAGAGCTTTATACCAAGGCTTATCCCCTTTTCACATTGCAAGACTACAATTCCATTATATTATTAATATTATTATATAATTCAAAAAGTTCCTACTTATTCTCACATCCAAACATGTATCGTTGAGAACTCGTGGCAAATTGTTCTCTGCATGTGCACGATCTGCACTGATCCATTCAATAAGACTTGGACACCAAGTGCGTTGGTCTTGTGGCAGATCCACCACAGCAACTGCTTGATGATTTGCTCGATCTGCGGCACCAAGCCTCAGTATGAATGCCCCTCATCTGAGTTGTTAAGAAGGCTCGGTATTCAGGATATAATATTGGTGCTGCACGCTTGCCATCTTAGATGGTTTTGTTATCCAACAAGCTTCATCATGCATCAGGACTGTCTAAGAGTTCAGGGTTCCTGATCACAGAGGTTGAGGTAGACCTAGGAAAATATGGAAGGATTGCATTGAGAGGAATGTGCAGGAGTGTGGCCTTGCCCACATTAACCTGCTGCCTACCCCAATCACTGGGAAACCCACAACAGTATAATCAAAGCTCCAAATCTTGACTTGACTAGGGTCTATCAGAAGTATTTTTTTACTCTTATTACAAAGCTTATTTCATATATACATGTATAGTCTATATATGACTCTACTATATTAATATTATTATTATATCATATTATTATCTATACTATTCAACTATCCCTTTTCTTTCAGATGTTGTAATGACAGATAGAAGTACTGAGATTTTTAGGCATAATTTAGAGCATTAGTGTGAAAGTGAATGCAACAGATTAGAACAAAACATGAATTTGGCTTACCAATTTCATTTTCCATGCCAGTAACCACAATATGCACATTTAGTCATCATTAACAAAAGAAAATATATCTGTTAGATTGTGGATGCTACTCATTTCAGAAATATTTAAACTTTCAGCAATATATAATCACTTTCTCAGATCAATGGTTAAAAATGTCTTTGAGTGAGTGAAACCTGGGTGGCCTGGCAAAGACCACACGTCTTCAAACCTTGTGGACTGGCACTACAGAATCACAAACAAAAAAATGTACCTGCTAAGATGAAACACATCACTTGAGGACTTGCAACAGCTATAATGGATTTTTTAAAAAATCTATTCCCCAAACAAGAAGGTGATAATGTCACTTACACACACTGGGAGTGAAAGTGAATGAAAAGACTTTAGGAAGAAGAACCAGAAGCCCAATCCTAAATAAGAAACTCTACTCCTGTTCAAAAGACTAGGAAGGAGTGTGTACTAGATGATAGGCACACCTATCTACTCTTGTTGAGGAAAATAAATAAATAAATAGCAAACAAAATTTCAGATTTTAGGTAGAGACATTAGAAGTATCAAGTTGAAATAGACTTTAGAAGGAACTGTGAACGCAATCCTAAACAGGAAACAATAGATAAACCTTTACTCAAATGTAACTCAAAGAGAGAATAATGATATAATCAAGTTGTTGATGTTCCACACTACTTCAAATAAAAGATTAGGAAGGAAGGCCTGTCAGTAGTGAAAAGAGCAATAACAGTCACTTGACTTGAGAAACCTACTTTCCTGAAAAATTGTTTTAAGAGAAAGATTTTATAAATTTCAACCAACTGCTGCTTGGCCAATGAATGTTGAATGCTTCCTTATAAAGTATAATATTACCATTACTATAAGAAGGATGTAAAAAACATGAAAAAATTTTTGTCTTTGTTAAGAGATTGAAAATATTGTAGTATGATTTATCATTAACAATTCAAATGGAACAGTCCTGAAGAGCATCACAAAAAGATTAAACGACTTTGAATTCCAAGGTGTAATTGAAATCATTGAGATAACTGCATTGCTAAAATCTGACAGAATACTGAGTAAAGTGCTGGTATACTGATGTAATTTACTATCACTTGATTCCCAGTGAAAGCTATGTCGTACTTTATATATACCATTTTCCTTTTGTAGCTCTAAGTATCTTTTGACCTTTTGCCATACCACCTTGTCCTTGTTCTGTCATTGATTTACACAGATTCATTAAGTAGGTTCCTTGCTGTTTCTCTTGAAGTCTTGTGAGTGTTAGATTCTCTAGGCCCTCTTTCCTCACTATTTGTCTCAGAAATTTCGACTGTCTCTGATTGTAAGTCTAAGTTTTGTAGTTGTTTCTATTTTACTTAAATCTTCCTGATGGCTCACATGTTCTTTCCAGGGTAATTGTCAGCATTTATTGGTAGAACCACATCTCTGTCACTTGAAGTATTTTCTTTGTCTGTGAGGAGACTGTTCAGCATTCCCTACTGTTGAGAAATATCGAGACTACTATTACTTGTATCATCATCATCATCATCATCAACAACAATAATAACATTAGTAACACTAATAAATTTGTATTTCTCTTAGTCAAGATTGAATCTGGCATGAGTCCACCTGAAAATTACTGTTGATTTTTGTGAATTTGCCCTACTTTCAGCTTATTTATAAAAGTGTTCTTTAGACAATTCTTAGTATATTATCTTAATCTTGTTTGATCTGGATGGGGGCAGTCCCTTTTGCCATTATTTAACAATTAAACTAATCCCCCATTTAATAAAATTGCTTACATTTGAAGAATGTAAAGAATAAAATGACTTCATATTGAAAACTGCAGAATAACACCAAGGTGCATTTAGCCAGCTCTGAAACTGGAATTTAAGGACTGTTAGGATGCCAATAAAATATTTGGCAGGTGCAATGAAACAGAAAGGAAAAAGTTCACCTGCTGCTTATACTCTCTCTCTTTTTCTCTCTCTCTCTCTTTCTCTCTCTCTTAGAACATAAATGATGCTACCAATGAAATCTAAGGGACATGAATAACACTTTGTGGCAGTTTGCCAATGGTTGCAGGTGGTTGGTCTGAGAATGGTTATTGATTACTTCATCTCATGACCAATAGCATTACACACGCATGCACACACGCTCACAATTTTTTTATTCCTGTTTTATATTGATAAAATTCTGATTCCTATTTTGACCAATGTGGTAAAACAAAAATGAGAAATTCTTGGAATCACTCAAAGGTAGTTTTAATTCCTGAAATATTTCAGAATTTGGTGCCTGGGTTAGATTGGTTTGGTTTAGTTTGGTTAATTTTACAGCATATCAACATATATGGTTATTTAATGCCGACAAGACTTTTATTGCTGGTAATATATTTTTTTTTTCAAAAATGTATTGCTGGTAATATTTTTTTGCTTCAAATATTCATTACTGGTAATAATCTTTTACAAAAATATATTGCTGGTATTAAAACCTATTTTTATACTTTCATATTGTTTTGATCCCAGTTTGGTGGGCAACTATTTGCCCATAGCTGGGACCCTAACAGATGCTACCACCTAATTTAGGGTGGACTTGGGAATACCAGCAATTAAGAGGTGGTTCCATGCTCCTCAAAACCTCCAGATTTTGTTGGATGTAGTTTATCGTCTTACCCAGGACATGGATGTAGTTTATCGTCTTACCCAGGACGGGCCTGGGTTAGAATAAATCAACAAGGTCATAAGAAATTTGGACTTGAATGCTAATATTTTGGACATTTCTAGGTTATAAATGGACATGGTCAAGCACTTAATCTTTTGCTCATTACTTTTAGTTTTAATTACTAAAATGATTCCCTCCATATTTACCGGAAAGATTGTTTGTATTTAAGGAAACAAACTAAGATGTTAAGATGCTACAGATAACAATCTCTTTTCTGAAGCTCTTCAGACCAGAAACTTGCAGGATTTTTATATTCTCCAGTGCTAACCTCCAAATAAGCAACTCTTTGTATCTTCTTGGTCTCATACTGACATGAAGTGGAGTGATTATATTGTATCAATTGTTAGATCTACTCTTAGGAAAGTTGGTTCACTCTACTGTGCCTGACAATTTTTCTTGTCAGAATCCATCTTGTATATTTATAAATCTACCATTTGTCTGTGCATTGAATAGTGCTGCCATATCTGGTCTGGTACTATTACTATATATCTTGAGATTCTTGAAAATATTCAAATAAAGGTCTGTAATATGATTGATACTGACCTGGTATCTCGATTTCAGTCACTTTCTTACTGATATGATGTGCCTTCTCACTGCCTTTTCTACAAATATTTTCATGGTAATTGTTCTATTAAACGTTTCTGGTGCCTCAACTGCATGAATTTAAGCATGCTACTAGATTGACAAATAGCTAGACACAACCATGTTCTATTCTAATACTTTATTTTTTCACACTTCTCACCTCTGGAACTCCATTCTGATTTCTTGCCTCTCTGCCATCTACTAACTTCAAAAATTTAAATGCAATGCCAAACGCCATCTTTTGGCTTCCTAAAACTTGTTCTTTTATTGTTCTTTCTCTTTGTTAATGTCTTCCCATTCTGTTTCACTTCCAGTTACCCCTTTGCATTTTAGTGGCTTTATTGCCTTGCTTGGAGTGAAATGATTAAAAAAGAGAAAAGAAAAGTAGTATGAGTAAGGTCTAAAAAAGTTAATTGTTAGAGAATGGTAATGATTCTGCAGTGAACTGCATAAATATTCACATTAATTGGAGTAAATTAAGACTATAAATAATATTTCCGTTTAATTATGCTTTGGTAAATGCAGTAACATAAAGAAAGATCAGATTTTTTTTATTACCAACTAAAATAAAAACTCTGCAAAACCAAACAATTCCATTGGTTTTTGGTTTTTTGAATTTCAAACAAAGAGATTATACAACTGTAGCAAGAAATGAAAGACATTCTCTCAGGATTATCAGTATGAAAGTGGAATTGTTAAATTCAAATTCCAGCCAAGGCCATTGCATTCATTTTTCCACAAATACTCTTGGAAAGACATGAATACATCTATCCCCCATCCCCGGTCATCTAGAGGATAATAGCATAACAGGCTGGGATCTCTAGCTTTAGATGGCAAAGGAAAAGGAGAACTCTGACTCCAAAATTGCTTGGCTATAGGGCTAAAAAATGTTTTGCTATGGAAACCATAGCAATAACTATGATAACTGATATAGTGAAGTTGTTACCCTATCCTCCACAGAGGAATATATATAGTTAATACAGATATGTACAAGAAAATAAAATAGTTTCTTCCATTATGACCATTTTATAGCAGTCAATATATCATAAGATTATAATCCTTTATTTATTCTCTTTATTATAGCAGAGCCAATTCTTTAACTTTAAACAGGATGCCAAATCTGTTTGAAAAAACTAACAGAAGACAAAATATCTGTTCACTCTAAATGCTCTTTGTAAAATAAATTCTTAAAAATAGGGACTGAGTGAAAAGAATTTTAGGGTTGGTCATGTGTGTTAGGATAAAGGTTTCTATTTGCTAAGAATAAAAATGAAAAATATTTACCTGAGGTTTTATTTCTATGAGGACAGGTAACCTCTTCTGGTTCACAGCTCTCTCCTTTTTGTTTGAGTCGTTTTTTGATGAAAGGTTCCTCTTGTATTGTTACAACCTGATAAATAATACAAATGACACAATAAAAAAGATATGTATATATATATATATATATATATATATATATATATATATATATATATATATATATATATATATATATATATATATTTATTTATTTAAAAATTTATAACATAAACATGTTATAAAATCACTACAAAAACTGTTTTTTTTTTTGGAACAACGTTTCCCCTTGTAAAGGATTGTTAACTAATTTGAAACTTTTAAAACCATTTGTTTTGCATTCAACATCATCACTTGATAAGATACCGGGAGTGTTGAAACAAAATGGCTATTTTTGTAGTGATTTTATAACATGTTTATGTTATAAATTTTTTAAATAAATAATTATATCTGCTCTACTTTGTATTGAGCACTCTTTTAAGAATAGTAATTGTTGGTTATTGAATTCATTCCGTATACACCAATTATATACTTAGTGTATATATATATATATATATATATATATATATATATATATATATATATATATGACTATTGGGGATAGTGTGGAATTCTGAAAGTGACAAAGATCAAGGTGTACCATGCTTGTACCTTAACATCATTAATGTCTTGCATGCAAAATGTGGGTTTTCTATTGAAATCACTTGAGTGCTTTCTTCAACATTGCTTGCATAGAATACTTGGAATCAACAGGAAAATACGTGTCAGTAATATAGAAGTGCTTGAACAAATTCACTGACCAACAATTCTCAAATGTACATTGCACCAGAGTTTGTTTTTTTTTTTTTCACAGTGGTGTTCACTCTGTACAAGGCGCTGGGACCCACTTGAAGTAGAGAGTTACAAAGTTGAGAAGTACAGTTTATGTGGATATGTGCTGGAGATAACGGTTAACCTTAGACTTGAACTGATTAAGATTGTAGTGTTTAGGGAAGCAGCTTTTTGGGAGTCATTTCCACATGGAAAGAACCTGCTTGAGTGGAACTTACATGTCACATGAAGGGAATGAGGGTGGGTCATGACAATGTGTGTGTAGTAAAAACAGAACCAGAAGAAGTCTTATAAGGATGGCCTGAAAGAATCACTGAACAATGCAAACATATTAGTGAGAGTTTCATGCAAAGGATTATAGCACCTGATGGAAGACAGTCCATGGTGAAAAGGTTATTTTTGTGAGGTTTTGGATTGTAAAAAACAAAGCTGAAAAGAAATTTCCAGAAAGGTCTTGATGTCCTGATGCAATATTTGTGGTAGTCTTTGCTTGAGTAAAATTATTGAATTAGCTCATATATGAAGTCATCATAACAGCACTGGGGAGACATTTCCTTTAATTCTTCAATAAGACTTCCCATCTCTAGGCTGGTAGATATTAATTTCACTGTTTAAAGAAAACTGACATGTCTACTCAAGCACATATATCCACTAAATATATATATGTATTGCTATTTTTGTAGTGATTTTATAACATATTTATGTTATAATTTGTGAATAAATTATATATATATATATATATATATATATATATATATATATATATATAAAAAATTTCTGTCTGAATTTCTTGGATAAGGAAATATCATTTACAATATTTACATTCTAACTATTGTCCTCAGCTTTGTTATTTTTATCACAACATTTCAGCACATTTTGCACCCTCTGGCCTTCATCAGGTGTATATTGACCTGGGTAACCTACAGGGATTTCTGAGCTAAATTCTTTATTTAATCTACAGGGGTAGACTGTTCTTGTTCCACTTCCCATGTCTTGGGACATCTTATCTCGTTCATTTTTTTAGTACTGCTGTTACCTCTGAGTCCAAGTACACACTGCCCATTCTAGGGATTGAACTCACAATTACTATGTCACCAAATTCACAAACTAACACTTTAATCCATTAGGACAATTCTTTGTAGTGAAATTGGAGCCTTAAACCTAACCTGCCTGCTGATTGGTGCTGCTACAGCTGTGATAACAACAACAAAGATAGGGACAATAGTCCAAATGTAAATAGTGTAAATCATATATATATATATATATATATATATATATATATATATATATATATATATATATATATATATTGATGTGGGATAAGTAAGCAAAAAACAGAAGGGAAAATCTTCTTAGTGACTTTCCTTCAGATTAATAATATTGTGATGGAATCGGTCATATATAAAGGTAGGGTGAAAAAATACAACAAATGCTAGTTACATTTCTTTTTGCAGAACAAGACATGTCACTTTTGTAATTAATTTATCCACTATTAATCTTATATATATATATATATATATATATATATATATATATATATATATATATATATATATGCCATATCTTGAACTCAAAAAGTTACAATATTTATACCAATAAAACCATATAATTTCTGTACTTTTTAAAGTATAGAGATAAATTGCTTATGAAACACTTCCTTGTATATGCAAAGTTATTTGTAAATTAAAACATATGTAATAGAAAATGTAACAAAAATATGCCAATATTTTATTACTTTCAATTTAACCCTGGTGTCATTGAATTATTTTAAAAATAAAAACTGAAGTTAATGAATGAATAATGAATGGATCAACTGCAGAACATTCCATACATTTTGTTTAATAAACGGTAATTTCTTAAAATTATTATTATATTTTTTATTTGTTTTATTTACATAGAACAAATATAAAAATCTACTTTTAACAAACAAATATTTAATAAATTTCTATTTATTTAGGTACAAAAACCTTACGTCATTAAATATATTTTAATAAATTATAGTAAAAAATTACCTGCAAGGAACATTATTCATCATGAATTTTTACATTATGTGTGTTATTTTAATATAATACATGGGTAATGTTAATGTAGCCCTTCTAATATATATATATATATATATAAATAAAAAGAAAGAACAGTAAGATTTATAATCCGGTGTTCTTATAGATATTTTTATTTTTACAAAATAGTGCTCAATGTAAATTTACAGAGCATTAATATTATAAATTAATTGATTTAAAATATGTTTTTTTCCACTACCATGGTTAGAACTGTGTAGCGGAAAAAAAACATATTTTAAATCAATTAATTTATATATATATATATATATATATATGTATGTATGCATGTATAAATAAATTGATATATTGAGTGTTGCTGCTCAATATGTAATAACAGAGCTAAAATTTATATTAATAATAAATATACAATTAACTCTCGCTACTGGTGAGGAATATATATATATATATATATATATATATATATATATATATATATATATAAAGTTTAAGACCACATATTTTGTTAAGTCCTCAATATTATTGTAAATTCTTTTACATGGTTTTAAGTACATAGAGTCTTGACTAAATGCATAAAAATGCTACAACTTAAAGTTTTCATTTTAGATTTAATCTAAAATTTAAAGAGAGGTAAATGACACATCAAAGGACAGCTCAGTGTAGAAATTCCCTTATATATTTTGAATATATAATCAATAATTGAGATTGTAATAACAACTGAAAAGATTTTAACAAGTAAAACATTTTATGTAAAAATAAATTTAGAATGACGATTTAAAATGCAGAGTTAAATCATTATGAGAGTAGTGAGTTTGAAATTTTATTTTTTTTGATTAAAATGGCTTTAGGTTTCATTTGGATTTGTGGTTAATTTGCATAAAGAGACAATCATATTGCATATTCGTTACCTTTAATAAAGTCACTTCTTTTGTTCACAGAGCATCTCACATTAATTTTCACATCAATTTAACTGGTAACTAATTTAAACCATAAACAATGATACACTTTTAAATAGTGTGAAATGACCCTGGTAAATTATGTTAACTTAGTAAGAAAGCAATGAATTCTGATCATAGACGTTATTTACAGTGATGTGAGGATGTTAATTTATTTTACACGAGTGGTAGGAATTAGTAAAGTTATCTCCCTTAGATTGAATTACGTGCTATGAATGAATTTGAAGTCTTTTCGGTCTGTGAGACATCAACTGTAATGAATGTCATCAACAGATATTCAATATGAAGCCTTTAGGTTGTTGGCCAGATCCAATGCCAAATGGATGCTTGCCAAAGCTCTTCCTTACCTCAGTCTTTGCTTGCCAAACAACATTTTGAATTATATATTGTTTTCTTGAAATATAAACTTTCAAATCATAAATTGTAAATTAAATTAATAAATTTTAAAAAACTCTATTTTTCTTAAAGTGGACAAACAAAACTAAAAATAAATAAAGGCCTGTCTGGTAGCAGAGAGAGTTGTGTATTCTCCATCTGTTTATGAGCCCAGGTAAAAAGCCAGGATTCCAAGTACTAAACAGACCCTCCACATTTGAAGGATTGTGAAATAGTCTTCCTGACTCACTAATCATCTAATCAATTTTTTAAAATTGGATTTACTCCAAGCAAGGCAATAAAACTACTAAGACACAGGGACTTACTGTGTGAAAGAATAAGAAAAAAGAGAAACGTTATTGAGGAGTGAGAGCAATAGAAGAGTAATCAGGAAGACAGTAGATAATGACTGGCATCACATTTAAATTTTTGAAGATTAATGTTAACTGGAAATCATGGAACTGGAAAAGAGTTCCACAAGCAAGAAGTGCAAGAAAATAAACTTTTAGCATAGAACTTACAGTTACATCTAACCAACTCATCTGTAAATTGGTGAGATCTCGTCACCAATTTACAGATTGGTGACAAGGTCACACCAATCTCATACTGTGCTTAAATTCATAAATTCTAGATACCATAGCAAAGAGCTTATCTGAACAGTGACCATGGAAGTATTTATAGAAAAGGCACAGGTAAGCAACTTTACAGCAGTGAGAAAGTGACAGAAGCCAAGATGCCATGTCAGGACCAATAATATTGCTGATTCTTCTTTGGATTTTATCGAGAATTTCCAAATATATAGCAGATTTGGTCTTATGATGTATTTAGCTAGGGGGATTAAATATCAATAAATGGATGGATGTACATTATACAAGTATATACATATTTACTAAATTTAGCTTATTCTGGCACAA